GAGCGACGAACGCGCGCTTCCGGTCGCCCGCGCGCCACAAGATGTCGGCCATGGCTTTGGCAAGACACTGGCGGACGTCGGCGTCGGTCTCGCAGAAGAAGAGGCGCACGAGAAGGTGCGCCTGAATGGCGGCCAACACTCCGCACGGACCGCCCTTTCGACCAATGAGAGATCAGAGACGGCGCGAGAGACGACACACGGACTCACCTTTCGCTGGACGAGACCGTAGAAGACGTTCGGCGAGAACTCGAGGTATTGTTGTCTCCACTCTTCGGACAACGGATTCGAACCGAAAACCAATTCCTTTAAACTCTTTGGAGAAAAGCTTTTGAGAAACGAAACGCCGATTCGCGCGCTTACTGTCGCCTCTTCGCCGGTCAGCGGACGGCCACCGACACCGCGCGCGACCAGCGGCGCCGGGCCGCGACAACCGGCCGTCTCTTCGTCGTCGAAGTCCTCGACTCGGAGGTCATTGTCGCAAAAGAAGCCGTTTGTCGACATTTGGTCGTCAATGGCAACGAGAGGCGAAAACAAACTAAAATCGATTTATTCAAAGACAAAGCGAGGCTATGATTGGTTGGCACTTGAGTTGAGAATCAATCGGTTGGCGCGAAGACGAGCGCCACGCGCGACGGAATGTACACCAAAAGGGAGTTCCGGCGGCCGTTCCAGCCCTCGGGCTGAGTGAAGAAGTCGGTGTTGTGGTCGACGCGCGAGTGGCCGCCAAAGCGCTGTTCGTCGGAATCCAAGACTATTCGGTATTTTCCCGCCTTTTCGACACCTATTCTGTAGTCGGGAAACGATTTGTTTGGATGGAAGTTGAAGACGAAGAGCGCCGAAGACCTCTCGAAGACAATCACTTTGTCGTCCTGGTGTTTGGTGGACACCCACGCGCCTGAGGGGAAGGACGGGTTAGCAGTGGTGGCAAGAGTTGGAAAACAACAAACCGGAAGCCGAGAGCCATCGGAAGCGCTCTTCCGTTGCGTTCATTTCGGCGTCGAATTCGTTGAGGAAAGCGTAGCGAAGGAGAGAGTCGTCGATGAGATTCCATTGTCTGCGCGCGTGATGGTAGGACTCGTTGTTGCCGACGCGCGGGAAGTCCAGCCACTCGGGATGGCCGAATTCGTTGCCTATGAAGTTAAG